AATTGCATATGATTGAGGAGTTTAGGGATATGAACTTAGGGTGTAAGTTGACCTCTAAGAGTATTAAGTTGGGAGCTTTGATAGTGACTAATAGCTTGATAGATGAGATTAAAAAAGGTCAGAAGGTAGATCCTTTTCTTATTGAGTCAAGTAGAGAAGTTGAACCAAGGTGTTGAGAGTGAGATTAAATTTGGAGTTGATGGAGTTTTGAGATTTAAGGATAGGTTGTGCATTCCTAGTGTGCCAGAGCTTAAGAGAGCAATCCTAGAAGAAGGTCATAAGAGTATCCTTAGTATCCATCCAGGAGCCACTAAGATGTACCAAGACCTTAAGAAGATGTTTTGGTAGCCTAAGATGAAGAGGGAAGTGGAGGAATTTGTGTATGCTTGCTTAGTATGTTAGAAAACTAAGGCAGAACACCAAGAACTTTCAAATTTATTGCAACCTTTAGACGTCCTAATTTGGAAATAAGATTTTGTATCTATGGACTTAGTTGTAGTTATGTATGATATTCTTAAGAAATTTGATCTTATGGATAGGCTTACCGAGTTTGCTCACCTTGTACTTATAAACATTACACATTTCTTGGAGAGATTGATAGAGTTGTACATCAATAAGGTAGTGAGTGCTACATAGGAATTAGAAAGCAAGATGCGAGAAGCTTATCCATTTCTGTTTGCAAGTAAATTTTGGGGACGAAATTTCTAAAAGGAGGGGAGAATTGTAACATCCCGAAATATTTACTATTACAATACCAATTATTATCTATTTATGAAGATTATTTTTCTTATAGTTATTTTAGTTAGTTAAAGGGTTTTATAGAATATTTTAAAGGTTTTTAATAATTTAAAATTATTTATGAAAATTTTTATATAAAATTCATTTTTAGGCTGGAACGGGCTGTTCCAAAAGTGGAATGGGCCGTTCCAAACAATGGAAATAAACTGCTTTTGAAGTGGCAGAACGGGCCGTTCCAAATATGTAAAAAGGCCTATCTGGGTTTTTCCGGAACGGGCCGTTCCCAAAGTGAAACAGGCCGTATTTATTGATTGAACATTTTTGTTTTTTTTTTTGAGAAAAAATTTAAAAATAAGCTGTCATAACTTGTACTTTAAATTCAAAGGTTAAAAAGATGTCACATCTAATTAACCATTCCTCCAAATAAAATGTTTAATACAATAATTTCAAATATTTACATTAAATATTGTAACACTATATTCGATCACATTTTGAATTTAAATAAAGAGTAATGACAGATAAAAAATAAAAAGAAGTGAGTTTAATATACTCACACTTCTTCGCTATAATAGCGGTAACTTGCTGGTCTCTTCCTTTGGGTTCCCTCTGGTCCAAGGTGGAGATGTGTGTGTGTGTGGTGCCTTTGGGAAGGGAAAGGGCCGCTATTTATAGACTTTCAGGAGGGACCGGAACGGCCTGTTCTGAATCCGGAACGGCCTGTTCCGGGGTTGCAATTTTACTCACAACGGCCATTTTTGGAACGGGCTGTTCCAATTTCGGAACGGCCCGTTCTGGACTAAAAATTACAGGTCCTTTTTTAAGGTTGGAACGGCCCGTTCCAGTTTGGGAACGGGCCGTTCCAGTTTCTGGGAACAGCCCGTTCTGGGCTAGAATTTATAAGTCTTTTTGGATGGTTGGAACGACCCGTTCCAGTTTTGGAACAGCCCGTTCCAGTTTTGGAACAGCCCGTTCCGGACTAGAAATTTTAGGGCTTTTTGTAAGGTTGGAACGACCCATTCTAGTTTTGGAACGGCCCGTTCTGGGCTAGAAATTTTAAGGTTTTTTGGAAGGTTGGAACGTCCCGTTCCTGTTTTGGAACGGCCCGTTCTGGGCTTGAAATTTTATGTCTTTTTGAAAGGTTGGAACGGCCCGTTCTGGACTTCTGAAATCATATGAAAATTACTAAATTACCCCCTTCCCCATAAAAATATAAAAAAAGAGGCATTACAATTGGCTTCCATATTTTTGTCTTTTTTATTCTTTCTTGTATATATCTTTTTTGCTATTTTTTTAAAAACAAAATTGACATTTCCCGGATGAAATTGGGTTACTACAGACTAACCCGATCCAATTAACCCGAGACTCGAAAACCCGAACCTGACAACCCGAATCACTGTTCACGTTCGAAAATGGGCCTTTTTTTTATCGGTTTGGATTGGACTTAATATTTTCAACCCGAATTCGTCCGAACTCGCCCCGTGCTCAGGCCTACAAAGTGAGTATTTTCCTCCAAACATAGTCTAACTATTTCATATTCAAGACCATGATTCAAAACTTAAATAAATGTTATTTTAAGAGATATGTTAGATTGATTTTTTTTTTAAGAAGATCGAAACTAAAATTCTCATTGAATTCTTATATAAAAGATATAACGAAATAAATGAATTCATTATAAATAAATATTTTTTAACTTATGAATTATATTTTATATCTATGATAAATAATTTATATTATTATATATGATTAATTTCAATTATTAATATTTAAAAAAATATATTAAATTCAATTTAAAGATAAAAATAATATATCATTTAATAGAGATAAGAGGTTTTTTTTTTCTCTCTATATATATGTGTGATATTTTAACTTGTGTAACACACAAGATAATTGTTTGTCTTATATAACTAAAATTCATAATAAGTAAACATATGGGAATGGAATATATAATAAATAAAAAAAATTTAATGTAAAAATTATGATAATAATTTATATTACAGTATTATTTTAAAAAAAATTAAAATATAATTTAAAAATAAATTGAAAAATACATTAAAAATAAGAATTACAAAAAATTATAAATTTCATCCTAAAAAAATCCTTTAAAACACTTATTAACAATAGTTGTTAAAAATGCTCTATCAATAATAATTTCAATTTGTATAAAATGGATAAAAGATTGATACTTATTTATTTATTCATGAAATAATATATTGATATAAATAAAAATACCTACATTGCAATTTTTTTTAAGTTATTCTCAAAAAACAATATTTTAGAATTTTCTTTTTATATGAGGATGTTTGTAAGTTGTTTTTAACTTATTTATTTTAGTTATATTATTAATAAAAAGTATTTACTTTCGTCAATGATTAATCTTTTGGGTGATCAACTTTAGGACTAATCTTCTATAGAAATTTCATTAATCACTTTTATTGAACTCTCATTTTTCAATTATATTTTTTATATACAATACTCAAATTCAAAATCATTAAAATATTTAGTTGAATACTAATTGAACTAACAACTTGCTTGGTAGTTTTTTTTATACTTTTTAAATTTGTCATTTTTATTTTTTCAAACTTAAAATTTAATACTTTTAAAAATTATATCACAATATAAATGATTTATTATCAATATAAAATATAACTTATATAATAATAATAATAATTATTATTATTATTTATAATAAATTTTAATTATAACACATTTTACATATTTATAAATATATTTAGGATTAAATAAGTTTTTAGTCTCTTAATTTTTTAAGAATTCAATTTGTAGTCCTTCTTAATTTTTTTTTTCAAATTTTAATCCATCGTTAATTTTCTATCATATAAATTAGTCTTTAAAATCAAGGATATATTAATAAATTATAACTGACTTGACTATTGATGTTCACACAACTGCATAAATGTCAAATCATATAATATGTATCATTTGACTATTTATTGGTAATCATTGGAGTGAATTTGTTTTAATATACGACATAGGACTATCATGTCCCTGAGTTTGACACTTTTTAGGAGTGGACATGCTGTGGATGCACATTAGACACTTCAACAAATTGTGTCCACAGACATTGGACATATCTCCATACGACCACCTACAAAATTGGCGTGTTTTTATTGCGAACACCTATAAAATTGACATGTCTTTATCACAAACACCTACAAATGAACACGTCTTCATCTTAATGTGCTGTTTGATACGTAAATTTGATATTTTTTTTAAGAATAAATCTCAATACAAATAGAAATAAAGAATGGATAATTTGAGATTTTTCTAAAAAAACGAAGAAGAATAAATCTTAATAGCAGAAACAAAAGAGAGAATTTGAGATTTAAAAAAAAATATTGATAAAAATAAAAACAAAGAAGGTAAGATTTGAGATTTAAAAAAAAAGAAACAAATTGATAAAAATAGAAATAATGTCGAGAATTATTTTATCTCTCCTTACTTAACTTTCACCTAATAGAAAAGAAAAAAATTTAATAAAAATTAAAACAATGAAGGGAGGATTCAAGATTTAAAAAGAAAATTATGAATATGATATTTCTTAATGTTTATTTTGAGACCTAGTAAATTATTGTTATACTAATATATAATATTTATGTCAAGTTATTTATATTATATTATATATGTCGTGCCCACATGTCTTATATATATTTTTTATTTTGTGGTATTCCTATATTCGTGTTGGATTTTCATATCATGTCTGAAATCGTGTTACATAGGTTTTAATAATTATTTGATCATGAACAAATAAAAAAATTATATTTATCATATGATTTGACATTTATTAAATAATCACATGAATATCAATAATCGAACTAATAATAATTTATCAATATATCAATTTCATTACTTAACAAAAGAGACATAATCTTAAAAATTAATTGATGGGAAAAAAAATTAATAGAGCACTAAAAATTGATTTTTTATTATAAAAAAGATTAAAAATTAAATTCTTAACTTAAGAAGTTGATGGAGGAAAACTTATTTAACTGATATTTATTATAAATTTAATTATATTAAACAAAGGATTATTTGGTTCATTCACCGGAATAAATCGGTGGTTCATTTATATATATACGAGGAGTTAATCATGTTTATCTAAAATTGTAAAATTCCTGAGTTATTTGGTTTGGTAGAAGGGCATTTGTGGAAGAATTGGTATAAAGGTCCTCTATACGGTAACGTTCACTCAGGAAGAAACCCACGCATACGGTCCTTGGCGGCACTTCACGTCAACTGTGGTTTTGGATTTTCTTTTTCTTCTTCTCTCTCTTTCGCTTTCTTTCTTTCACATTCGCTTTCCGTTGTTTTCTCTGCCAACAAACCATTCAAAACTCTGCATTTCCAACCGTTTTCATTTTTCTCCTTCTCTTCTCTTACACTCTCACTTTCAGTTTCAGCTTCGCTTTTTCTCTGCTTCGGATTTCGGCATTGTCGTAAGCGGAAAACTGTCAGCGCAAGGTTTCTAGGTCAGAACATTTCCGAAATCTCGCTCTTCTCTGTTAGATCCTTCTTCGCATTTCCACTCCTGCATTTATCCAAGTCTTTCTGTGTTCGTGAATCCGTTGCATGTGTTGTTTACGCTGCGTATGGACGATGTCCTGTGATTTGTTTTATTATTATTATTATTATTGAGAAGAAAAAAAAATTGCTTCTTAATTTCTCTGTTTTTCTCTGTTGTTTTGATAGTTTCATTAGCGTGTTTCTGTAACTAGGTTATCGTGATGCAGTGAGGAAGATGATCGTGGAACTGCTGTTTTTTTTGTGTTTTTGTTAATCTAGTTTTAGTAGGCAACTGGATTTTGAGAAGCTCTCGTTTTACTGCTGTTCATTTCTTCTCATGGTGTTTGAACATATTGATTTGTCGGGTTTAGGTTCTGCTTCATTTTAACATGAATTGGTGGTTGTGCAGGCTTTTGAGTCCTGTTATGGCTGGTGATTCATTTGTGATTATCAATGGCAATGGCAATGGCATCGCTAAGTCAGAGCCTGATCCGCAGAGGACCTACCAAGCAGTGGTGATTGCAACCAGAGATATGGGCATTTCCAAGGATGGAAAATTACCATGGTTTTTACCCACGGATCTCAAGTTTTTCGACGATATCACTACAACAACAACTGATCCTGGGAAGAAGAATGCCGTTGTGATGGGTAGAAAAACATGGGAGAGCATCCCTCCTAAGGAAAGGCCTCTTTCCGGTCGCCTTAATGTTGTTCTGACTCGCTCTGGTAGCTTTGATATTGCAACAGCAGAGAATGTTGTTATATGTGGAAGTGTGTCTTCTGCCATGGAACTGTTGGCTGCTTCTCCTTACTGCCTGTCGATTGAGAAAGTATTTCTTACAGGAGGTGGAGAGATATTTAGGTATATTTATATTTTTGTAGTCTTCGTGCTTCTTCTCTTTTGTAGTCATGTTAAGCTCTTTGACTGTTGTAGCTGATAATTGTCATGTACAGAGAGGCACTTAATGCACCTGGATGTGAAGCTGCCCATATTACAGAAATTGAGGCGAGCATTGAGTGTGACACTTTTATGCCTCGAATTGATACCTCTGTATTTCAGCCATGGTATTCGTCATTCCCTTTGGTGGAAAACAATCTCCGATATGCTTTCACCACTTATGTGCGTGTAAGGAGTTCTTCGGAAGAGTCCCCGGGTCAGAATACGGAACCACTTTTTGATAATGGTTCAGGCTCTCTAGAGTTTGAGGTGAAGAAATTTTCTTTTCTTCCTAAAATGATTTATGAGAGACATGAGGAGTTTAAGTATCTTAGGTTGGTTCAAGAAATCATTTCTGAAGGCACATCTAAGGATGATAGAACAGGGACTGGTACCTTGTCAAAATTTGGCTGCCAGGTAAACATTTTGATTGGTCCATTGAGAATATGCTATAATTTATGTGCTTACTTCATCCTCTAAAATTCCACAGATGAGGTTTAATCTGCGCAGAAACTTTCCGCTTCTGACAACAAAGGTATGTATGATTTTGGGTTCTGGATTTGTGTAAACCACTGCACAGTAATTTCTTATTCGTGTGCACCTTTTCCTTTTGTGATTCTGATGTAATTGTTTGTGTTTCTTACTTCAAAAAGATTATTGAAGAAGACTGAAGAATATCTATTGTACATCTTGATATAAAAGTTGACATGATTTCATCATTTGGTTCCTAGAAAGTATTTTGGCGAGGAGTTGTTGAAGAGCTTCTTTGGTTTATCAGTGGCTCAACAAGTGCTAAGGTAATGATATCTGTTACCGGTCCTTCCTACTCACAGACATACACGCGATCTTTTCTAGTTAAGTTAAAATTCATAAACTAAACTAGCTAGCGTGGGCCAAATACTGGGGAACTTGAGGTTGATGTACTTGATCTTGATAATATTTTAGCTTGGGGGAGAATATAGGCAGGCTCATTTTTGGAATCTCCAACCCATCTCACTATTTTCAGTATTATTTTGTTTTCAAATTTTTAATCAACTTATCATTGTTGATCAAACCTATATAATATGATTGGATTCTTATTAATCTATACACGGGTGAATAAAATATTAATACCTTTTATGCTCGATATTTTAACAGTCAAGATTGAATGTCAAGATACAGAAGAAACAATAAATGTGCCATATAGCTTCCCAAGGTCAAGACGAGTTTGATTAAGCTTTTCTGAGTTCTTTAGTGAAATAGCAATTAGCCAGGCTGTCACTAAATTAAAAAAGTTACAGGCTGGCTAATTAATTATGTCGACTCTATTTTTGATATTTGATCCCGATGGTCCTTATGGAAGTTCATGGAGTTGACTTTATTGTGTATGCTGTAAATATTTTAATCTATTTCTGATGGTATAAAATGAGTATAAAACGGCTTCATGATGACATGGTTAGCACCTGTTTGTTGCATTATTAATACTCTGAAAAATGCCTCTAGACCAAAATTCAATTATTTTACTGCATTGCATGAAGTGTTCTGGGTTCACTAGATTGTCTTACCGGTTCATTAGACATGCCTACGATGAATTTTATTCAGGAAACATTTTATTTTGACAGGTTCTGCAGGAAAAAAGCATTCATATATGGGATGGCAATGCATCCAGAGAATACCTTGATAGGCAAGCATGACCATCTACTAATTTTTGTATGAAATTTTTTTCTTCTAATCTGGGTAGTTATTAACTGGATTTACATTTTATATACAGCATTGGTTTGACAGAAAGGGAGGAGGGTGACTTGGGACCTGTTTATGGGTTTCAGTGGAGGCACTTTGGAGCCAAGTAGGTGGATGTACCTTTATCTTTGTAAGTGATTAGGATGCATCTTGTGGGATTGCTTAGCTCTCTATTTCCTATCTTACATATTACAGGTATACCGACATGCATGCTGACTATTCCGGCCAAGGATTTGATCAGCTTTTAGATGTTATTAACAAGATAAAGCATAATCCTGATGATCGACGGATCATTCTCTCAGCTTGGAATCCATCTGATCTTAAATTGATGGCACTTCCACCCTGCCACATGTTTGCGCAGGTCGGCAGCTATATTTGGTTTTCTCTTTGGATGAACTCTCTCTCTCTCTCTTCTCTCTCCTGAAGTTTTGTCTACTTCTTTTTTCCTGCAGTTCTATGTAGCGAATGGGGAGTTATCGTGTCAGATGTATCAGCGATCAGCCGACATGGGTCTGGGTGTGCCATTTAATATTGCATCTTATGCGCTCCTGACATGCATGATTGCTCATGTTTGTGGTATGCAAATTTTGCCAGCTTTTGCTACACTTAAATTTGTACTCAGACGTACATGCTATCTTCAATCCTACTTTCATGGGTTCAATAGAGTTTTGTTATTATTTGATTATAAATGGCTTTAAGCTAATTAATAGGTTGTGATTCACAAAAAATTTGTATTATGAGTCGCGTACTTTTTGTGTGGATGGGTAGAATGGTCCTTTTGGATGCAAATAGTCAGACTTGCTTAGAAATTAGAACGCACTTTTCAAAAAATTACATATAGTTTGGAAAATTTATTGGGATGTTTTTGTTTCGCCGTTTAAGTTTGGGTGTTGGCGGGTTCAGAAGTATATAGATTGATAATCCTACGTAGAGAAATACAACTTTTATATAAAACAAAAATTGATATCAGATATCGGACTGACGATCCCTATCCTGTTCTTGTCAGACCTTGTTCCGGGTGATTTTATCCATGTTATCGGGGATGCTCATGTTTACCGCAATCATGTGAGACCTTTGCAGGAGCAGCTCCAGAACCAACCAAAACCTTTTCCGGTATGTGTGTAAATGTTTAAGGAAATCAATTGCTTTAGCGTAGATGCCCACAAAATATTTTCCATTATGCACTCGTATAAATTGCCTTTCCCTTGTTGATTACCTAAACTTCAATTCAGATTTTGAAGATAAACCCAAAGAAGAAAGATATAGATTCTTTTGTGGCTGCTGATTTCAAGCTCATAGGATATGATCCTCACCAGAAGATAGAAATGAAGATGGCTGTCTAGGAATCTTGTGAGATTCTCAATCCCTTCTTGAGGCTGTTATGCTTTCTGAAATGAGGCAAGTAATCTATTAGCCTGTTTGCTTTTACGTTTGAAAACTTGGACGTGATTTTGAGAAGCAACTATTAGTTGCTTTTGTTGCGTTATAACGTGAAAATAGGGAAAAACGTGGATCTCAAACGTATTACCAAACACGCACTATATCTTTGTTTCTTTCTTCATGATTTTATTTATGTAAAAGAGATTTCTGTATTATCTGGTTGGTACTTGTCACCTGGGCAGTGTGGCAAACCGAAAAGCAGATGGTTTGGATTCATTTTGAACTAGTTTTACTTGCTGATAAAGTAAGATCCGCCCTTAAAAAATTAAAACAGATGACGTAAGATTGGCTTTTCAAAATTTGATTAGGTACCTTACATAAAAATTTTGAAAACCAATTTCACTAGTAATTTTCTAGTTTTGCTTAATACATATTATTAATGTCTCTGCTTTTTAGCGAATTTTATCTTGTGAATTTATAGGTAGTACACCGTATATTTTTTTTAATGTCTAGGTGCTTGTTTGGTTCCATATTATACTGAAACATGGTATTCTCATTGTTTCAGGCATAACCATAGGACGTATATGGTAAATTTCTGGTCAAATAAAAGAATACTGGTTGGACATACTTCAAGTTTTACATGTTACTATTGGGAATCCTTTAGTTCCACATTTGTCGTGGCTCTAAGGTGATTTAGGTTAACTGCATTTTCATTTTTTTTTTCATATAGACGTTCTGGTATACTTTTGAGTTCTGATGGATCAGAAAATTGACGTTTTGAGATTAGAGGCGTCTTGTGTTGGCTATTTTATTGTGATTCGCCGCCTCCTCCGGCCCCAGCCAAAAAAAAAAAAGAAAGAGGAAAGGAGGGAATGACCTAGAATCACTATCGGATGTTGCATTGCTACACCTTTTTTCTGGCATTGTTTCCTCTTTTGATACTGTTGGTTGTTTCTTATTTTTGGTGCTTCTGTATTGCCATTTTTCCGTTCTGATTTGGAGACCAGCGGGGAAACGGGGAAGGGATGGCTCAAAAAATTCATGTTATGTATAAAAACCAAAGGTACTTAAAAGAACATTATTTAAATTTTACCATTTTTTTTCTAAATTATCCATTGATACGTGGGCTGCTGTTGCTCTTTCTCTCTCTCTCTCTCTCTTTTTTTTTTTTTTTTTTTTTTTTTTTTTTTTTTTTTTTAAATATTAACTTTAGTCTACGCAGTCCAAGTCGTCTGGATTTTGGGTGAATTAAGGTGTCAATGTCCTAGGGGTAAGAGAAATAAACCTGTAGACTTTAGAGATTACACCGTGCGTGCGTGCGTAGGGATTCCTCCTCAAACATCACTTGCCCACTATCCATGGTAGTTGTGATTATCTTAATAAATTATTTGGTGCTCTTTTGTTTTGAAGTTTAGTACACTTAATTTTGAACCATTAAATATAATTAGGATTTAATGATCATATATTGTTAGTTTTATACAGTTAGTTAATTAGAAATCACATTTTTTTATATATATATAGAAGTCATTATTAGTATGATTTTTAAGGTAGTTGTCATAGAAATTATCAAATTATCATACATAGTTTGTTATTGAATTTTATTGTAAAACTGATTTATATCATCTGCACAAAATCTATTTTTTCTAAATATTGACACATTTTTACATATAATTTTTACTTTTTAGTCTTTTTACGTATATTTTTAACTCATTTTAATCCTTGTATATACAATTTTTTTTAATCTGTTTTACTCTACAATATTGGATGACCAAATTAAAATAGATTCAAAAGCATGTGTAAGAACTAATGTGTGAAGTCTATAGGCATAAAATCTTATTAAAATGTACAACATTCAATGTTATTTGTAGTAAAAACCGTTTAATAATATACCAACTCCCTTAAAAAAATAATAATATACCAACTAATATCTTATTAAAATCATATTCCAACTGTTATTTGTAGTAAAAACTTTGTTTAATAATTATATAACCATTACAGTTAATGTGCATGTCAATGTAAAATATTTTAATTTGTCAATCCAGGGAGCTATTTTTTATATAACTTTTAAAGAAGTTATTAGTCATCTTCTATCAATTACTTTTATATATTTTGTTTCATTTTATATTAAAGAGATCCGGTGTTACACAACTCTTATCTTCAAGCTTTTAAAAATTTGCTAGTGAGTCTCGTAGATGACCAATCATCTATACATTTTATCAAAATAATTATAAATACGTTTAGATAATATATATATATATATATATATATATATATATATAATTTTTTTTACTTTCTTAATTCCTACAAACAGTGATAAGCACGTGCTTAAATAAGTCCTCTGAATCAATGCTTCACAAGATTTGCATATTACTATGAAGTAATGCTTAATAAGAAGAATCACATTTATTATCATGAATAGAAATGCTTTTAGAAAATTTACATTGTTAATTATATGATTTTTTTTTCAATATCAAACTTTCTTTAAAATGATCTAGTAGTTCTCTTGGTCTAGAGCATTTAGTAAGTGTGAAAACTAATCTTTTCTTAAGTTTAGGAGTCCCTATAATATATATATATATATATATATATATATATATATATGTGTGTG